TTGCAGTGAGCTGAGATCATGATGCCACTGCACTCTAGCCTAGGTGAAAAAGCAAAACTTTTTTCCAAAAAAAAAAAAAAAAAATTTAATATACCCAAGCTTTCAAGAACTTTATTCATTTAAAGTATGAAACATTATCATACAAAAGGATTACTTATCATTTTCCTTAAATTTTTAAATTTCAGGTAATAAAATCTACAAAAGATAATTTTCTTTTTGAAAATCATGTTTTAAACCATCCTCGTTTAAAATAGGAGTAAGATTTTAGAAATGCCTTTAATCATTTCTATATTTTCATTTCTTTCCTTTTTATGAAGTAAATATCAATTCTGACTCTTCAAAGATAGCAACAAGCATGAGAGCTTTATTTCATCTAAAAAAGGAAATATAGAAATGGCTACAAAGGTGAAAAAGGGACAATCCTGGAGATTACAAGGCCCCATAAATCCACTCCTAGCCCTGAACTTTGTTCTCCCTGTCAGCCCCACCTAAGCAAGTCTGCCAAGAACTACTGGCTCTAAGTAAAAGCACAAGACATGGGACTGTACACATTCTCGTTGTACTGGATTTCTGTTATCAAGGTACTGCTTCTAGTAATGGAGTGGAATTATTATTCTTTGACTTGTTTAGGGATCCAGAAGGTAACTTACCTTTATTACTGTTACCTGAGGCCTTCTTGCCAAAATAATCACAAATAACTCCCGCATCTTCACTGTGGCGGCAGTTGTGTCTTCCAATGGCTTGCTTGATACAGTCAGCCAAGGACCTCTCATTTCCTGTGCACTTCACATTATCCACATGGATGGGTCCTTTTCCTTCTCCAAAATAAGCCATGGTTCTAGCTCTGGCAGGACCCCTGAAGACAGAACATTCTTAATGATGTGAAGAATCAGTCAATCCTATATCTGAATAAATCACAACATATACTCATATTCAATTTTATTCCTTAATTTTTACATCTTAAAATTGGTACCTCCATGTGCTAAAAAACATTTGTTTCATGACTGTTAAAAAATTAAATAAGAAAGGTAACAACTATAACTTCTTTGTTGCCATACTCCACAGCTACTTTATTACATCACTGGCCTCTAATTTAGCTTTGGCTAAGAAACTCACATTTAATGGTACATCAAAAATTCATGATAGTCTTTAACTCTCGTTTAAGGAAAGGAAAGGAAAAAAATCACCTTTAAATTTTCTGCCCTCTTAAAGAGGAGTATTGTGAAGAAAACGATGAGATTAAATAATAACTACAGAGCCAAGAACTAATTGTTTGCCTCCTTTAGAAGAAAAAAGTACAGTTTTTTAGGCTGGGCATGGTGGCTCCCATCTGAAATCCCAGCACTTTCGGAGGCCAAGGCAGGTGGATCACCTGAGGTCAGGAATTTGAGACAAGCCTGGCTCACATGGTGAAACCCTGTTTCTACTAAAAATACAAAAAATTCGCCGGGCGTGGTGGTGGGTACCTGTAATCCCAGCTACTCAGGAGGCTAAGGCAGGAGAATCACTTGAACCCAGGAGGTGGAGGTTGCAGTGCGCCGAGATCATGCCATTGCACTCCAGCTTGGGCAACAAAAGCAAAACTCCATCTCAAACACACACACACACACACACACACACACACACACACACACACACACACGCACACACACACACAAATTAGCTGGGCAAGATGGCGGGTGGGTGCCTGTAATTCCAGCTACTCAGGAGGCTGAGGCAAGAGAATGGCTCAAACCTGGGAGGCAGAGGTTGCAGTGAACTGAGATTGCACCATTGCACTCCAGCCTGGGTGACAGAGCGAGACTCCGTCTCAAAAAGCAAAAAAAAGTACTATATATATATACATATATATATATATATATATATACATATATATATATTTGTTGTTGTTGTGTTTTAAAACAAGGTCTCATTTTGTCACTCAGGCTGGAGTGCAGTGGTGTGATCTCGACTCACTGCAGCCTTGACCTCTTGGGCTCAAGAGACCCTTTCACTTCATCCCCACAAGTAGCTGGGACTATAGGTGCATGCCACCATGCCTGGCTAATTTGTTTGTATTTGTAGTAGAAACGGGGTTTCACCATGTTTCCCAGGCTAATCTAGAACTCCTAACCTCAAGCGATCCACCCAGCTTGGCCTCTCAAAGTGCTAGGATTACAGGAGTAAGCCACTGCACTCAGCCTAAAAGTAACATTTTTAACAGAGACAGAGAAAAACAGAACTCATGACTAGATGGAAGACTTACTTTTAGTATATTACTATTTTTTGTTTTAATAACACATTTTAAAGTATGCAAATACAAAAATATTTAAATGAAATAAAATATTTCCTATGCCATATTTAGAGCTCAATTCCTGATAAATTAATGAAATAGTCATTAAAATCAAAAGATTTAAAGTATGAATTGGAAAACTATCCTTGAAACCTCAAGTTAGGGGAAAAATTAAGTGGACATAGAGGGTATAAACTATAAATTTTAAAATTGATAAAAAACAAAAATTAAATTCAGAATGTAGCTTTACTAAAAACTACCCTACAGAAAGTGAAAAGATAAATTGCAAAGTTGATATTCGTAGAAATATATTTGTTGGTGAATATACTTTCTAGTGGAGAAGAATAGCATACAATATACCAAAAAAAAGTCATTTAAAATATAAGTAATCTGTTTTTAACAAAGCTGCAGGCAATTCTTCTGTAGATAGTTCTGCATCAAACTTTGGCAAAGAAAACTAAGTTATTTCTCCACTGTTGCACGTGTTTTAAAATTATTAGACTTCTTAAAATTATATATACATAAATCTTTGCGGGCAGCTTAGATTTCTTCTTACAAGTTTTATTCAATTTTTTCTATTTTTTCAGTTATTTCTTATTTATTATATTATTCTTTATTTTATGTATTTATCGTATATCACAGTTCTTGTCTGTCTGAAATTTATTTCTGTTTAGTAAGAAATCTAGCTTTATTTTTGTCCCTAAAGTAGTTGTCCCAATAACTTTTCCTGCTGATTTGAAAGGCTTTCTTATTTATCATGCTATGTGTGCACATGCTATTTCTTGATCTTTATAGTTCTGTAATTTACAACCATGGGTAACCCTTAGAATTGCCTTTGGAAACATTTAAGATATAGCAAAACTTGAACCTCACCTCACATCAATTAAAGTAGAATGGGTAGTATTTTTTTAAGTTCCAAAGTGATTTCAATCTATCACCAAGGCTGATAGCTGCTGCTGTAGTTGTGTCATAGACCTCTTTGACTATTCTTGTGCCAGTGCCACATGGATTTTATTTCAGATGAATTTGGAAGTCAAATCTCTCTCCTCACCCCACATGCACACCAAGAAAACAGAAAGATTTTTCCTAGCATAACATTTAATGTATAACTTTATTTCTATTTTGTCTTCACATTCAGGATTGCGGTAAGTCTCTTCATTGATAAGGCCTTCTAGCTTTAGTAAAGACTAGGTTTTTCACATAGGTCTCAATTCTTACAAAGTGTATTCCTATTTTTTGTTTTGTTGTTAGTTCTTGTAACTTCTATAAATCTCTTTTTCATTTTCTACTTATCCATAGGCAGACCTTTGCTTTTAAAGTATTTATAATGTATCTTGTTACATTAATAAACACTAGTTCTGGGGTCTTTCCAGTTGATTCTCATGGATTTTTGAACAATCCCATTATTCATATAAATATTCTGACCTTTCCTTTTCAATACTGATACCTCAATTCTTCACGCTTTAGTGCAACCCCCAGACGATGCTGTCATTGAAATAATAGCAGGCATTCTTTTGTTCCTATTTGATGCTTACTTGTGATATAAAATTAAAAGTTTCATTTTGTCTTCAGCTTCCTCAGAGATTTGAGGAAGGAATGTTGATTTTATCATATAATGTTTCAGCATTATTAAGATGATCATATTTGTTTAATCATTTATTAAAATGATTGTATATTTATGGGTGACACACTGAATTATATTAATTGAATGCCTCAGTTTGAATCACTTACATTCCTACAACAGACTCCACCTATCTGCTCTTTTAATACACTATCAGATAAATTTGCTAATATTCTGTTAGCAAAATAACTTGGTATGAAGATTCATGAGATTGAGGTATAGTTTTCTTTTTTATGTGTTTACTTACCTAGTCTTGAAATCAATTTAAATTAGCCTCATAAAATGAATGGAAACATTTCCACATGTTTCTTGGCTCTGCAGCAATTCATATAATTCAGAAACTGTCTCTTAAGGACTGGTGAAAAGTCCAGTAAAAAAAATCAGAGTCATTGTTTTCCACAGCCATTAATCTAATTGGGTTTTATATCTTTTGTATCAATTTTGATAATTACATTTTTGTTGAAAATCTAGTTTCCCAGATAATCATCCGTTTCATCTAGATTTTCAAGTGTATTTTCTAAAAGTAGTTCATATTATTAATCATTTTCTTGTTGTTGTTTTGAGATGAAGTCTCACTCTATTGCCCAGTCTGGAGTACAACAGCACAATCTCGGCTCACTGCAACCTCTGCCTTCTTGGTTCAAGCTATTCTCCTGCCTTAGCCGCCCAAGAGGCTGGGATTAGAGGCATGAGCCACCACACCTGGCTAATTTTTGTGTTTTTGGTATAGACGGGGAGTTTCACCATTTTGGCCAGGCTGGTCTTGAACTCCTGGCCTCAAGAGATCCACCCACCTGTGCCTCCCAAAGTGCTGGGTTTACAGGCATGAGCCACTGTGCCCAACTGTATTATTAATCTATAAGGTTTATTGTTTGACCCTCTACGTATCTGTGCTTAAATTTCTTTTCTATTCTCGATGTTTACTTGTATTTCTTTTCTTTTCTCTCCTTTTTCTTAGGCAAAATTGCCATAAGATTGTTGAGATTGTTATTTTATTAATCTTTTTTAAAATAAAAATAATTGCTGATAATGTGTAGGTATAAGGTAAAGAGATCTGAAATTCAAAGAGGCATAATCTGAAGAAAATGAAAAACTAATAGAATTTGGAAACAAAAATTCCAAATGATTCCCAGCAGTTTCAGAGGTGAGAATGGATGGAGGTAGAAAGTAGACAGTATGTTAAATGTCTTTATCTTTTTCAGGAAGGGGAAGTTAAAGATAGTAATTTTTGAAATTACTAAGAAAATATATTTCAGCATGTTTGCTAAAAATTTAAAAAGAACTTCTAGAAAAACGGTAAGAATGTTGAATTTCTAGACCACTGAGAAAAAATGAAAATAGAAAATTGAATTAATTGTGCAAATCAAAAAACAGATGATTACACAAAGAACAGAAAATAAAACATGATAAATAAAACTAGATGGCAGGTGGAAGTAGACATACAGAAAATAAAATTTAAATCATTTAAATAAACCAAAAGGATCATTTCTTAGCAACTGATCAACTTACAAACTAAAAAAGAAGCACCATTTTAGATGTATCAATAAGTAGAAATTAGAGAATATTTTAACTAATAGCATATGATTAAAGAAATTCTCATTGAAATAGTGAAATCTAACAAATTTTCTTTTGACTGTTCTTTCTTTATATAACTAAGAACTCTGCCATCTATAGAAAAAAAGGGAAAGGCTTCTCATTGGCTTACTGAATCTAGTAATTCACAGCCGAAAATTTCAATGCATAACAGCTTCTAATAATTAGTCTTTAAACTGGATGTCAAGTGCTCCTGGTAGATAATAACTTTCCAAGGGATACACAGGCTCTAAAGAAATCAATTTTTATATCCTCAAATTTCATGTATATTCTTTCTTAAAAATAATCTTGCTGATATCAGGATAGACTTCTCTTTCAAAATTTCCCTTCTCTCACTTCACAAAAAGCATATGTTGCACTCATTCCAAAT